TTGCTAGTGGAAAATAGTAAATAATTTTAAAGGCAAACTATTTATTCCCGACCCCTGACCATATGTAGTACTTCGAAGTACATGGTACATTGACCCCTTACAGAGTATTATAGTAGCGTAAAATGTACAAAATAAATAATACAATTGTGTTATTGTCCAGTTCACAACGCTACTAAAAGGGGAGTATATGCTTGATCATCATTCAATCATCCTGACATAAAGTATATTAAACATACCGTGAAAACACACTTAAGTACTTTTATTCAGGACTTGGCAATCCAGTTACACACAGTGCGAAGCTCAATTTACAACTACATAGCGCACTATGTTTTTGGCCGAGAAGCAAGCTTGGTCGCCGATATCCCAATTTTAACGTGTTGAAGTTCCGAAAGTCGGACCAGAAGCGCTACACTTTCCAAAATTGTTGTTGCAGTATTCTTCGTGAACATCATCAACAAACACTTCATCCCGTATGCTGCTGACGGGCTTCCAGATTGAAGCAAATTAAGCGTTGCAACGTTGAATTTGTTGGTGTAATTCTTCTCGTCAAGCAGGATTTCGCCAATTCCCGTCGGATTCTCGTTGCCTGTGAGAACTTTGGCTGTAGCGATCCAATTATGAAGGAATCTACGAATCTGGCTTTCTGCTAACTTTTGTACTCCGGGAATCTTACTCCTTCCAGCCACGTTGATCTGTTTAACGAAGTCAAGAGGCTTTAGATTCTCTGACAGGATAGCAATGACCATATCATATGCTCTTTCTAACGCGCGTTCACTAGGCTTGTGATATGTCTCAGCCTCGAAATACGCGTGGATCGAAGATCGGGCGCTTTCGAACAGCGTCATTTTTTTGATTCGTTGATCAAAATTTTTGTCAGTGAACTTTGTGCCGAAGAACGCCACCGGGTCTTCCACTTTCTCATTAATGCTGTCATTATCTATCGATTTGATGAGCTTCAAACCAGCAGCTTTAGCCCGACTGATAATCGCTGGTAACGCGACCCTTTCATCGGATAGATCACGGTTTTGCTTCCCTATCACCTTTTTCAAGTGTTGATGACCTTGATATTCCATGGTGATGGCTTCCATTGTGACTGTCTCAGAGCAAGCAAGAAACGCAACGATGACTAGCGAAATCGTCCGGTGTAGATTAATCAAACGCCTTGGCTCGGTAGACATACGTGACGTGGGGTAGGAAGCTCAATCAAAATCAAATTGTGACAAATCTGATCAGCATACCTTGTGGATCGAACCTTGAGTTGCATGCTGGATCAAACCTTGGATTGCATGCCTGATTGTTGAAGTTATTACTCAAAGCAGAGACGAACATGCTGAAATGATCAGAAGGGTAAAAGGACAGTCCGAGCCTCAAAAAACGGATCCAACCTTATTGTACTCTGATGGAATCAATACATATAATCTGGCGTCTATTTGTCGCCCTGGCACCATTGAGAATCAGATTTCGTCGACTGAATAAATATGACAAATCATGCATTCAGTTCATCAAGAATGACAGACCTTTTACAATTAAAACACTTTTAAGCGTCTTTTGATAAAAGCGGAACATACAATTGAAAGACAGAACTCTTCGGAATATGCAGCTTAAATTCGTGACGCTCGTGGATGTGGATATCTCCTATCTTCAAGTCAAATCACTTGCGCACTATAGTTTCGGTTTAGTATTCACGCATGCAGTATCTCCACAAAGTTCCGAGCTCAACCGACAGTAGGTTTTCAGCATAATCGAACTAAAATCAAGCTTGATGCAGTTAAGCTCTTCGATCAAATTAAAGTAGAAATAAAAGTAAAGAGAACAGATGTAGTAAACATGGGCTGACCGCGATTGCATTAGATTCGTGGAGATTCGTTCTCCACAACATATTAATTTCAGTATGTTACCATTCGATGTCGACGAAACTGACCTCAATGAATTCTGATCAGCCCGACCAGCCATCATGCTGCATGTTCTACCAAAAGCATGTGTCATCGAAACCTCAACGTTTTTAGTACTTACCAAAAAATATCAGCCACACTTCAATTTTTGCAGAAATTCGTCTGGGTACGACCGAAGGGACCTCCCAGTTAAAAGCTATCCCAGATTTGACCACAATCAATCAGAGCACTTTCTAGAATAAATTCTTCGTAGAGATTCATTTCGTCTTCCTTTAGTGTAACGGGGTTACACATACCTCTGGTAACATGGGTGTGTGTCACGCCAGATGGGCATGGTGTGACCACACCCAAACAAGAATACGGTACGGGCGCTGGAAAGCCAGTTGTTATGCATGTTTTACTATGCAACTTTAGGAAAATCTATGCATATAAATTAGGCGGCTTTGCCGCAGATAGAAATAAAAAAGTCAGTTTTGGATTTAAACGGAAGAGTTAATTATCCTTGGGTTTATAATTTCTATCCAAAATATCTTTAATTTTTTTAAGGTTGTAATTACTTTAAGTAAGCGGATTGCGATCCGCAAAACTCGTACTTGTTCTAAGTATAGAGCGAAAGGTCGGTGACCTAACTTACGCTTCCTCAAAGCGCAAAGCTACGGCAGCCCACCTGCATTTAACGTTATCCTAAATCTCTAAGCTATAGTGGTGTCTGAGCTCGAAACTCTCTTGCTATCTAATGCATTCAATGGCGCAACACAATTGTGTAATTTATATGCTAAATGTCGAAAGACTTCCCCACAATGTGACCCATGTGTGACAGGTGTCGATGCTGTGAAGATGCATAAGCGATTACGTGCAATTTGCGACTACAGTGTGCGAAGAAATTGACGAAAGATAACGTTCTACTAAATGTAATAAAACTTGCTTACGAATTTCAGCTATGGACGGACAAAGTAGTGCAAGGCCTTCCGTTGCCCACAAGATCTCGACTCCCTTCTCAGTACATCAATCTTTATTATATTATGCAGTTTATAAGGTAGAAACAGTAATGGATTGTTATTTCACCAACAAAGGTATGCGCCATCAACTCTTATGTGGGTACTATGTCACTGCAATCTCGGACAGAAGAAAGAAGAATTTTTTTCCTCAATGCGTACTTGCCACACTTGCACAAGTGCTATCACAAAGATGTGTGGATATCTTACATTTGTCGTCGTCTGGATTCCACTGGGTCCACAAAACCCATATCGATCATTGCCTGCCCCTTCGATCAGCTAAAAATTCTAAATATTATTTCATATTGATTTTCAAGAGTCAAAGTTGAGCGCAACGACATCCTTGGTATTTTATTCTCTTCAACAAGATGGTTTATATCGTGCAAATTTGAGTAAGATATCAGCAGAGTAGATTGTCCTCTTCTCTTTTCTTTTCTTTCCACGACCGCTCCACAAAGGACCAGGCAATTTTTAATGTTCTGTAGGTGATAGTGATTTATTGTCTCCGCGGTTGGTCATCTTTGGATAGAAGGATTAGGATGTGAGCGTGCGAAAGTTCACTCCACGACATAGACCATAGCCGAAATGCAACTTAGACAAAACTTCGTCTAAGGCTTTCAGTGATAATATAGCTTACATGGTCGTCCGTCGAGATATGAATAGTGTTGCTGGCCGTGAATTGTCAAAGAGGCAGAAATTTACCACACTATTTCAAAGTAGTAAAATTCACACCCTGGTGGCCATTGTTACTAGACAAGCACGGACAACTTTGTGTCCAGAAGTCTGAACAGTGTGCGCCTAAAGTAAGCGAGGATCACGGTCAGACTCGATCGCAACTAGTAGTCCGTGTAGACAAGATACGACTTCTACCATAACATTAAGAGAAGAGAAGACAAGAGAAGAGATCTTGAATGATGAATAGCTTGGGTAATCTAACGTCTCATTGCTTGGAAGACGGAGAATAGCCAAAGAAATCATCAGAATATCTGAAAACATTTGGCAGAGTAACGCGTATGACGGCCGAAATCTATCCGCTGTACTAGAAAGAGCGACGATTGAAAGTTGAAGAGACGAAGATATGACAAGAGAATATTAGAACAGTGATTGCGTCGTACAACACTTACATCATGAAAAAGACACAGCATCACATCAATAGGAGAATTGTACTGCTATCTCAGCCAGCAAGAACCAATATAAATATGTGTACAAGATTTGATAAATGTAAAGGAGCGCTGTACAAGGCACTCGATCAGAACAGCGCGCTTGCTTATGCCTTGTAAAAGTGTTCCTGCCATGAAGGAAATAGGACATGAGTGCGAGAACAACGCTCTAATCCTGGTCATCCGGAAAGGATGGTTACGCGCTTGGACGCTCGTCACGTTGACAGCGGTTGCGATATCAAGTCTATGCGTTGTAAGTCTTCACATTGCAGCCCCACCGCAACTGGAGTCTGGAGCACTGTTGATGCTTTTAAGATGTTGAACCACCCGACAATTTCAGCAGAGACTTCAATTTTACGCAAGAACAAACACCTTTTAATCTTACAGCAAGTCATTTTGTGAAAGATTCTCATGTGAGGTGAATATTCCACGCTCGCTATCACTTCGATCCGCAGTGACACTTTGCATGCATCATCAGCGAGATGCAGAAACCATTGTACCTTACTGATTTGTTCATAAATGCCAGCAGTCTCAGCTGATTGATGTCTACTAAGTATTACGGAACCCTTGTGAAATCCCTTGATAATGTCGCAGGTGCAAGTTATTGCCTGTGTAATTCATGAAGAAGACGCGCACGACAGGTATATCTTTATGTAGTAGCTTATTAAGGATCAGACATCACCCCATTTTAAAGTTAAGAGCACAATGAGTTCTGTAACAGACTCAACAAAGCATTTCATATTTCAACATGTGGTGAAGCGATTAAGTGACCAAGTAAACAAAGAGGAAGAACCACTGTTTAGCTAACAGCAGATTGCTACAGCCCTCATTGAAAATTTTATATCTTGGAGAAGAGTATGCAGCAAAAGAAAAAAAATATTAACACGCTACTAAGTTCGACTCATGGTGAGCCTTTATTGCCTAGGCAACGATAGCAAACCAGCGTCTTTTTCTTACATCGAATGCCCTTCATATCAAAAGAGTCTTCAGCACGAGCGAGCGTCTTCAAGCTCTGGTTGCCGAAGTATCACCGCTGAAGAGTCTAAAGCTGATATTGAAGCCGCAAAAAATGTAAAGTTGTAAGAGTAACGCGTTTGTGCATTAGGCGGGTAGCCAAACCACAAAAATTCGTAGTCTTGGTGAGGTTTCAATCGTATTGTTCCACGCTGATGGGTCATTCGGTCCTTATTATCTTCAATCGACTCAGCAAGCTAAAAGGCAGGAATCAAGGAGTGACTCGCTGTTTTGCCGACTCTTCGGTTTGAAGTTTCGGAGACTCGTATCCATTAGCGTATCGCTTGAATACAGGGCAAATTTGACAGACTCAATTTGACTATAAAGTCTCGTGGGAATCCCTGTGGCCGTCTACTACGCTTTGTAGAAGAAATAGTCCATCAAACTCAATATCATCTTGTTTTCTCCGTACTAAACTGTAAGGAAACACCTCTTCGACATGGTTTAAAGTTCAACAGCCGATCCGAATGAGCATGTGACTGAAAGGCCAAATGTGAAAGTTCTTGATCCGGTTGATTTTCCTTTGGTTGAATTGTAGAATCAGCACTCTATCTGTGTCTTCGATCTCTTCGGATCCAAATCCAGCAATTTTAGCAGCGCGTCGATAAGATGTTCTGCTTTGAGGATTATAATGTATAATAAAGATGTAAAATCTCGCCATTCTTGCAACATTTCAGGCGTCTTTGCCCTTTATGCAAAGATGTGCATCTCGTGTGCATATCAAGACGCTTCCCAAGCTGATAAACATGGACATTTACCAAAGTTCTTGATCGCCAAAAGCTTCTTGTCATAAATCGAGTACTTGCGTTTTGCCCGTCGGGGCTATCGTGACCGATGCGATACTCTCGTTCACAAGCATCACCATCGTGTCGCATCAGTGCACAGCCGATAAAACAGTCACTCGCGTCCCGATCATGTTGAGCGGTTGTCATGGTATGAAAAAGTGAAATTAAGACTCTTTTTTACCACCAATACATTGCGTAATGGTCCTTGGGTCATTTTATCTGATGTTCTTTGCCAGCTATTTTGTGAGCAGTAACCAGTTCGCATGATTGCACGTGTATTTTGCAAAGAATTAGCCGAATTCAGTCACTGACTAGCTCTTTGACATTAAAGCTTTAATTTGTATCGACTCGTAACACACAGAACAACCAAAAGCAAGAGTTTCGTGGGTAAAAGTCATAGAGCTTTTTTATATTTTGTGAAGCTTATACTAGCGGAGAATGGCACAGCTGATCTACATTCGTCACTGCAACACATGCCTGGATCAGGTGCACGCGAGCTACTCTTCGTGGTGGTCTCGTTAAGGTAGTTCTGCTAGTACTCTTATTTTTCTCCACTTGACTATTGAACGCAATTTCGTCTTTTATGATCGAGGAGACAGTCTTTTTTCGGTGCATGACTGATTTATCTCCAATTACCTTCTTTACCATGAAAGAGATTTGCAAAATCCAACGTGGAAGCCATCATAGTTAGCTATCAGTATAGACGACCATTACACTAAATTTGGCTTGCGAAGTCTACAAATAAGTGAGACGGCGCGGTCCTCTTGAGTACGGTATGCATGAGCCCTCTGGCGGCCTTTCAAAATTAAGGTTGATACCATATGAAGGGTACAAGGTTTTCCTGGTGGTGCGGCACCCAGCGCAAGCGGTACTTATATGACCTGTAATTCGAAATCGTTTGAGTTTATCCCAGCGTGAGCGAAAGACCCGCACGTACGAGCGTCTAAGGGCTCCGCCTCGTGCAACGAGAAGTTCAGGTGGCTCGAAGCCATAATCATGACGAAATGATTTGACAAAAGTCGATGTAACTTTTCTGCTTGGTCACAAGGCTTGACTCCATGATTCAGATTTACGGCTGTCGCAACGCTATTCACTGTAGAAAATGACACATGTCTGAAGATTTTGCAGAGAGTTGACAGAGATCAGTGAGCGCATCTTCTTATATAGTCGCTTGAATGTATGTCGTTCAGTATGGAAGGGGCGTTGAGTCAGGGCAGTGTTAGGTCAGGGCTCGGAAAATCGCTGCGACACTTCCTATCAGAATCACCCTTACCAAGTGTTTCTATGAGATCGACCAATTTCGTCGTAGTACACGATTGTGAAGGTAATAGCTAAAGAATTGGAATTAATCAAGACAATGGAAATCCATAATGCAGAATCCATATGCACGTGATCTGTCGGATTGTAAGCGACATGCTCTTTAAAATAGCAAAATGCAGATAGTATTAATATAAATAAGGAGCCAAATCGAAATATACGACACTCTTTAAGTAGTTTAGCTAGATAATGCCACTTTAAAGGCTCTGAATCGTCGATCCTACGGAATCCCTTGGATCCCTTCTATCCTTTGGTAAAGGAATTTGAAGACGTCGTCTCCCAAGACCCGCCTTCGGTCCTATCTAGTTCGCTCAGATCGAGTTGTACAATTCCGAGCGCTGTGAATTTTTGACACGGGTATCTTAAGTCAAAGTCACTTTTGTACAACGATCACGACAAACAGTTGCAACTTCATCTAAATGCCTCGTTTGATCGCTCTCACAGTTTATAAGATGGCATAGCAGCACCTCTATATGGCTTGGTTGAAACGCACAAAATTGCAATGCCAGTTGCAGAAAAGATTAAGTGAATGGTGGCCCAGCTAATCACCGGGGAACTATGAGAAAGCCAACACTAATTGTTATTGGGGCAACCGAATGTGAAAATTTTCGTGGCGAGATCGAGTTTTCCGACTTCGATGACAGTTTTGATCTGATACTGGGGATGCTCTGGTTGCAATATATCCAACCAAGAATCGAGTACGATGATTCAGATCGTCGTTGCCAGGTGACACTTTGCTGACTTGGGCTATGCTGCAGCAGCTGAAGAGATGCAGGTTTACACATATGTGGTGTGTAAACTGATAATATCACGAGGGCTCAGAGTTCAACGTAAAATATCACCTCCCTTCAACTTACTGACCTTAGCAAGTTCGCTTGTCTCCTTGACATAACTCTTACGGCCACCGACAAAGTGCTAAGAAGTCGATCACAGTTCGTTAGTAATCACTCGCTGCGTCGGGCAACACTGCCTCCTCTCTAAAAAAAGGCTGAGGGTACGTCAAATCATAAGATGCGACGGCGTCAGAAAACTCTTGCCAAAGTAATACGTCAAGAATCCATGAATTTTATAAGTGATTTTTTTCTTGACACAATTAACAGCCCTGATTTACCTGTTATTCTACTAACCGTACTTGATAAAGTGGGTTTCTTTCTTCATCGTCAAGCAGCATTTGCGGAGGACCACCCTCCTGAACCTGACCCGCGTGAGCTCTCTCGTTTGTAGTGGTTGGTCGTCTTTTCTCCTGAGGCTTGGCGTGTGGCCAAAGCAATTTGCCAAATTATCTGTTGCGCTGTCTTGTGCTACTCAACCACGCTGCGTGGCTTAAGGCACCTCTAGTGGATCAGCACCGCGTTGCTACTTTGAAAAAAAGATAAATCAGCTACATAGGGGTATGACGATACTGCTCCGCTTACAACAAAGCGGCTGATTTGTAAGAGTCGGTTTGTCCATTTTGTTGGGGTATTCGAGCAAACCATTTTTTACTACGGTTGTGAGCTGTCCAACGTAACCCATTCGTACTTTTGATCAAAAGACCGCACACACTGCACATTTGGGTATATTATACGCAGCAATAAGACATTTCACTACCTATTCACTTCATCTGCCTTTGGCATCAATATCTCGCTATTGAACATCCTGGTTTTCATCGTCAGTGTTACGCTCGCGGCACATGATGCTCAACTTCACTAAATAAAACTCGCAATGTTGGTACGAGAAAACATTAGTAATCATATTAAATTTAGTGCCCATCCTTTGCCAAGCCCGTTGCCGTATTTGTGTCAGAAAAACACAAATTGGGCTTATATTTATATAAAGATTGATAAAGCCGCTAGAAGTATGGGCAGCGCGCTCAGACTCAGGGCGTTAGCGCATTTTGTTCTAGGATCGAGATCTCTACGCGCCTGAGATTAAATTAACGCGTTCCACAAAGGACCATTCGACGAACCTTCGCGGCTTATAATCGAACCCGCTGTCCAAGATCTTACTTCACAAGAAAACGAGTGCGGTCGTATTAAATGACTTTCCTAACTCATCAGCCTTTGGGGCATCACCAGCCACTCCCAGAGCATCCCGCCTTGGGATAGCAGGCTTGCAGCTACATGCTTTTATATTTGTCACATGTTCTCAAACCCCTCGCATTACAAAATTTCAGGAGTGGAGCTCATGTTGTGTCTGACCTGTACGTTGGGTGACATCACTATTGCATCACGCGGCCCTTCATGGTCTACCACCCCATTAAATCGACCCGGCTTACACACCAAACTCAAAGGTGTACTCAACAAACAAGGATAATCATTTTTACATTCACTGCGAGATGTGGTTTGGACGTCGCTGTACCGAGGCATGATCTGTATGCGCCAGGGGTCATTGCGTGTGGATGGATGTAATTAATAGGGTTTGTTCTCGTAGTCAGCCGGCGAGAGTCGAACGCGATCACATATTCATGTTCTTTGGTTTTTGCTTGGAGATAAATGCGGCTTCTTGCAAAATAAGAAGCGTCACAGACGTCGAGGAATGGCCGATCAGCTTTCAAAAGAGCCAGGATCAAGGCACGCAAGATAGTTTCGTTCACAGCACCTGAGACCGCCTCTTCTATCGCCCCCCAACCCCCTTCCCCACATCTTCTATAGCCCATTTAAAGAGAATGGTGAGATGTCGTGTCATATTAGCCAGTCTTACCATGGACCTGAGCAAGTAGTTTGCCAGGCCAAAACAGTTTTTGGGTCAGAGGTACTGATGAATCGTCAATGTTTTTAAACTTCGCGTCATTTGCCTACAGATCGGGAACTCCTTATTTGATTCCCCATAAAGACGTTTTGGTGGGTATCAAAGACACACTGGTCTATATTTGTCCATATTTGACTATACTTACAGAAACCTTATTCTAGCACATACACCCGAGCAATAGCACAATATCGTTGCCGATTACAAAATTTAGATCCGGCGGTAGCACCGTTTGTTGTGGTGATTCAAAATTAGTTTATTGATGCTTTCAGGTGGTTGATGCGGTTTCCCACATCCAATTTCCTGTGCTTTGGATGACGATGGACGAAATATGTCCCCGAAACACGTTATTTATAGTCAAAAAAGCGCTCTAGATTGCTAAGTCAACCGGCGATTGCACGTCTCTGATACATCGACATACCATATGGCACAACCAGCTACTCTTGAAGTATCCTGCTCAAAATACTCACCGCAAAAAGATGGAGCTCACTTTGCTCACCACCAGTTAATAAAAACCATCTACAAGGTCGAGACAACTAAACAAGTGTAGCCAACCTTGCTGATATTCAGCATAACCTTTCCGACATTCAAAGTTTGCACCGGAATGGTGGCTGCATGCAGCTTCAATTATAAACATGCTGAATTCATAACTTGTTGTAAACATTTTTGATACAGAAAGCCGACGGCGTGGGGAGAGGTTTCCACACCCTTACCAAATGTGCTGGGTGCTTCGCACGTATAAAGACAACAATGCCGTCTCGATGCACTTAGTAGGGCAATTACCGTTGAACAAACTATCTGATTTTGGACACCAGAACAATTTCATTATCCACTCCTTATTCGAGAGCAACACGCATGGTGGGTTTCTTCCACCGCGATTTGATGTTCCTTAAAAAAGATAGACGAAATCTGAAAAAATATTACAAATAAGCTCAACCGCTCTTCACCCTCAATGCTCTGTGAGTGTTCTCGATGACATATTTATTTATGACGGATGATGTAATCAACTTCTCCTTCAAAACCAGCTGTACCATTCTACTGACATCATCATGCAGTTTCTTGCATATATCGCAGCGAGATTTCCTCAGCTCTGTATGAGCTTTTGTCGGGAGAAGAGGTAGCAAGAAAAAACCATCGGCTGCTTGAATTACATCGGCCACTCTATTCATGATCTTTATCGCCTATCACCCGTAGTGCTCTACTACTCTTCACGTCACATTATAGTGATGACTCAGCAGTAACGTCAGCTCGTAACAATGATGGGTCATCCTTCTTGTGTTTTTAGAGTCTGACCCTTCTACTCGCGACTTACAGTCACGCACCAACTCCACAGGCTGAAGATCGGTATCTACCGATACACAGTCTCCTCCACTATTCACCGACCCAAACATAGGATACAACACATAACATCTTTTCTTTACCGCCCCGAAAGAGACATACTAGGGTTACTGCTGCCGTTTTTGCATTCAGAGCTCTGCTTCAAGTACTAAACAATATCGTCGCTGCCTGCTTTGGATAGTCCCATAGCGTTCACAGCAGCTACCACAGCTTTGTGTCCATGCCATAAGTGCTTCTGCTACCTTGCAATGGAGGGTACATGGCTCCACCAGCATAAAAGCGCGTGGCATAGCTTTTTCAACTTCCAGTCAATCCATGGCATGTAGCCTTTCAGTCGCACTACTGATGAGATCATATCTCAAATCTAAATATAGTACAAAACAATATTTCATGCTGTTAAAATCCATAAAAATCACTTGAATGTTTTGCAAGACCTTTGAAATTTTACCAGTGCCTTGTCGCAAGATTTACGGATATTGCATCCATGCAGCGACTTAATTGTCTCCGCGCAATAATCTCTTTTGAATGGTCATACATGCTTGAACAGCAGCTCAAATTGATCGGAAGCTCACACGACATCACCAAAATCAAGATGTTGATGTTTACACCCATCAACTCTGGGTTGCGAGCTCCACGAGAGTCGTTCCTTTAGGGCTGTGTCTATCGTCTACGACCGTTACGAAATCACAAAATTCTCTACTTCGACATGATTTTTACAGCAAGGCTTTGTCGTCCTTGCAAGAGTGAAGGAAGCACTTGAGGCGCGGATGTTTTGTACTTCCATAGATGAACTGTATCTATGAAACCCAAAAGCTACTCGTCCGCGTCAAGGGATCTCTCATTTTTCTTGGTATGGATGAGGTTCATCACCTCCAGCGCGCTTATAGATCTTTCGTTTTTGGTACCCCATTCTGTCCTACGGCAAAAGTGCATTCGGCGGGATACCCAACGCTTCATCGAAAAAGCAGGAAAGGTCATGCTGTTGCACCAAAAAACAATCTCTGTGAGCAGAAAGGTAATTTTTTCTCCATTTTGTACGAATATTTAAAGAGCGAGCAATAATTGTGAAAAGTTTATGCGATATTAATCTTTACGATAACCAAAATTTTGAGGTTTGTGTCTGTTTACTGTGTCATTGCAATCTACTTCGCAAATCTCGTGTTTCAGTTTGCTTGTCACGTCTGACGGATACTCAATGAAGAACGACGAGCATCCTGTATCAGTGCTTTTAGTCCGAGTTGAATTTGAATACCGTCGGGGCGCGTTTTGGTTTCAGTAAAATGGGTTCAAACCTAATGCTACTAGTTGGATGAAAAATTGCTCGATTCGTCGTCGAAGAAGGAGCGCCGTAATCAATTCCATTAGCCAGACAATTAGCCAAACTATCGGAATTTCCGCTGAGACATTTTGGTGGCATACAGATGGCGTCTGTTTCATCAAGCAAAAATTTTCGCGAGATCCAAACGGGCCTGGACAAGTACGGCATGTAATCAGAAAAATATGTATTAATATAAAATGGAATTGTAGAATAAGTAATCATATCTGAGCAATATATTATTTTAGGCTATGATGTCCAAATCTGTGGTAAAAATACTCTAGTTGTCGAAATACGTATGTATGTTGCAAGCCACGCTAAAATACCGTAGTTAACAAAAAGATTAATTGAGTCATTTTCAAGTAGCGAATGAGTTAACATCAAAAATGACCAATTCTCACAAGAAATTGTGATTATTCTGTGAACTTTTGATGCACCATTTTCAAAATTCAAACAAGTGAAAAAAGCTTTATTCCAGGTCCAAGGATCGCTGATTGTCGATGAGTGATTGATATACACCGTTCTCCTCGTGTTTCGCCAAGTATTCAGCCAATGCAGACTGATTTGCACAACGAAAATCCTGTCCGTAGGTTGCAAAGGCCTTTGCAACCTCTGAGCGAGTCGACATGCGGGCATTGACATCTTCGATCGATTGTTCGAGCCAAGAAATGACGTCCTTTCGATCGACCTTGTATTTGCCTCCTGCACCAGGATCAGAGGCAATCTTCCACGAGACGTAGCGCGTCTTGAAGGCCTATTTGATTGCCTTGTTGGCAATCAGATCGCATACTTGAATCAGACAAGTACACCTTGGAGGAATACCTCCCAAAGTGATGTTCAGGTCAGCAGCTTTCTTTTTGACTAGATCTGAGAAATGGCTAGAAGCCGCGTCCCAAATCAAACAAACCTTCTCGCCTGGATAGCTCGACGCCGAAAATTCCAAGTAAGTGCAGCACCCGTCTTTGTCCATCCAATGCTTTAGATGGAACATGACTTTGCTAGGACCATCCAAAGAAGAGAATCGTCTTGAAAGCGTCATGATAATCATAGGGGCAAGGATTTGAGATTGGAACATCTCGG